ACTATGTTGCCATACGGGGGCATCAATGTTTCAAAAACACATCTTGTTTTTATAAAAAATGGATTTTACTTTTAAAATTAAACTTTTATTGAACTTGTTATTTCTTCATTTTCTCTAATTTTAGCCACTTTATCCTGAATTGTCTTACCTGTGACAGTAAATTTCAAAAGTAATTTAAGGTTTTCATTCAAAAAGGTTAGCCATGAAAAACGTCATATATAAGCATTCAACATCATCCCCTGCTGACACCCGCTCCCATGATAGGACAAACAGGAAAATCTGAAGACAATGTTAAAAACTATTATGTTTGTTCTATTATGTTTGCTGACAAGGTAATATTGTATCGACCATTACTTGTTTATCATTGGCTTGCCTATTTTAAAAATTATTCGTATGTTGAGTATTCTCTTGTGTATTGTACCCCATATCAAGTAGGTTCTCCGTTTAAACGAGATAACTAAATAAAATTATTATACTGAAACAGTGTTTGATACTTCTATGCTCTCATGCATTGCTCAATTTACTTTTCAACGCCGCGTACTTTCTTGTTAAAATTATGCCACAATACTTATCACACACGTGTTACTCAGTACTGTATAGAATCGTATGAAAAACATGAATCAAACTACTTATAAGGCTTCTCGTCACATAAATTCAAAAGTATGGAGATACATGTATTTTTCTTGTATAAAAATATGATCTTCAGCTTTTTTGTTAAGTGTATAATTTTCTATAAAGCAACTATATTAGTTTCTTCTTTTTTCTCACAGAATAATGACTGAATAATTGTCGGAAATTTTCCCACACCGGTTTAGTGCTTGGTAAAGCGTACCGGTCTTGTACGTCTGATTAGTCAGCATTCGCTAGAAGAAGGGTTCTGGCAAACATCCCGATATTCAGTCTGGAAAATTTCATCGAGTATTTTTACCGGAAATACATTTTCCTTATCATATGACCACTCCTTCGATTTCTGGTAATGAAAAATGCGTCAATATAATTGTTTATCTGTAAATATGGCTTTTGGTCTGATCTCTTATCATATTATGTTTACATATTTTTTTCTTTTTTTTTTCGCCATTTTTAATAAATGACATAGTTCTCTTCTGTAATTGTGTATATCTCATTGATTATAATTCAAAAAAAAAAAAAAAAAAAAAACAGAGCATCAGGGAGATTTTTTAATTTGATACCTTATTTCCTTAATACACAAAATTACGTCCCAGCGAACATGTAAAATTGAATTTGTCCTAGTCAAAAAAAGTCCTTAGACAATTCAGTATGAAATTAATGGCCAAGATTTTATTTATGAAAAACATCAGTCAGCTTTTTTGACAAGTCCATTGTGTCGACCATAAAATTAAATATTGTTGAAATGTTGACTTTCAACGAGACTGTTAATATCCTAATATATCATTAACACATTTTTCAAAAACCTGCCTCTTTCTAGATGTTGTTCGTAAGTACAGTATGCTCTAAGACTTGCATGTCGAGTCAACTGCGATACATAATCTCCATATGCATTGGTTAAAGATATACATGTACTAGAACTTTTATAATTCATGTGGGTTTTTTTATATAAAGAATAGATTTAACATTTAAAATTATTAAACTAAATAAAAATTTTATTGAACTATAACTATTTTTCTAATATACTGTAAACCCCATATCAAGTAGGTTCTCCGTTTAAACGAGATAACTAAATAAAATTATTATACTGAAACAGTGTTTGATACTTCTATGCTCTCATGCATTGCTCAATTTACTTTTCAACGCCGCGTACTTTCTTGTTAAAATTATGCCACAATACTTATCACACACGTGTTACTCAGTACTGTATAGAATCGTATGAGAAACATGAATCAAACTACTTATAAGGCTTCTCGTCACATAAATTCAAAAGTATGGAGATACATGTATTTTTCTTGTGTAAAAATATGATCTTCAGCTTTTTTGTTAAGTGTATAATTTTCTATAAAGCAACTATATTAGTTTCTTCTTTTTTCTCACAGAATAATGACTGAATAATTGTCGGAAATTTTCCCACAACGGTTTAGTGCTTGGTAAAGCGTACCGGTCTTGTACGTCTGATTAGTCAGCATTCGCTAGAAGAAGGGTTCTGGCAAACATCCCGATATTCAGTCTGGAAAATTTCATCGAGTATTTTTACCGGAAATACATTTTCCTTATCATATGACCACTCCTTCGATTTCTGGTAATGAAAAATGCGTCAATATAATTGTTTATCTGTAAATATGGCTTTTGGTCTGATCTCTTATCATATTATGTTTACGTCATACATATTTTTTTCTTTTTTTTTCGCCATTTTTAATAAAGACATAGTTCTCTTCTGCAATTGTGTATATCTCATTGATTATAATTCAAAAAAAAAAAAAAAAAAAAAAAAAAAAACAGAGCATCAGGGAGATTTTTTAATTTGATACCTTATTTCCTTAATACACAAAATTACGTCCCAGCGAACATGTAAAATTGAATTTGTCCTAGTCAAAAAAAGTCCTTAGACAATTCAGTATGAAATTAATGGCCAAGATTTTATTTATGAAAAACATCAGTCAGCTTTTTTGACAAGTCCATTGTGTCGACCATAAAATTAAATATTGTTGAAATGTTGACTTTCAACGAGACTGTTAATATCCTAATATATCATTAACACATTTTTCAAAAACCTGCTTCTTTCTAGATGTTGTTCGTAAGTACAGTATGCTCTAAGACTTGCATATCGAGTCAACTGCGATACATAATCTCCATATGCATTGGTTAAAGATATACATGTACTAGAACTTTTATAATTCATGTGGGTTTTTTTATATAAAGAATAGATTTAACATTTAAAATTATTAAACTAAATAAAAATTTTATTGAACTATATTTTTCTAATATACTGTAAACCCCATATCAAGTAGGTTCTCCGTTTAAACGAGATAACTAAATAAAATTATTATACTGAAACAGTGTTTGATACTTCTATGCTCTCATGCATTGCTCAATTTACTTTTCAACGCCGCGTACTTTCTTGTTAAAATTATGCCACAATACTTATCACACACGTGTTACTCAGTACTGTATAGAATCGTATGAGAAACATGAATCAAACTACTTATAAGGCTTGTGTAAAAATATGATCTTCAGCTTTTTTGTTAAGTGTATAATTTTCTATAAAGCAACTATATTAGTTTCTTCTTTTTTCTCACAGAATAATGACTGAATAATTGTCGGAAATTTTCCCACACCGGTTTAGTGCTTGGTAAAGCGTACCGGTCTTGTACGTCTGATTAGTCAGCATTCGCTAGAAGAAGGGTTCTGGCAAACATCCCGATATTCAGTCTGGAAAATTTCATCGAGTATTTTTACCGGAAATACATTTTCCTTATCATATGACCACTCCTTCGATTTCTGGTAATGAAAAATGCGTCAATATAATTGTTTATCTGTAAATATGGCTTTTGGTCTGATCTCTTATCATATTATGTTTACGTCATACATATTTTTTTTTTCGCCATTTTTAATAAAGACATAGTTCTCTTCTGCAATTGTGTATATCTCATTGATTATAATTCAAAAAAAAAAAAAAAAAAAAAAAAAACAGAGCATCAGGGAGATTTTTTAATTTGATACCTTATTTCCTTAATACACAAAATTACGTCCCAGCGAACATGTAAAATTGAATTTGTCCTAGTCAAAAAAAGTCCTTAGACAATTCAGTATGAAATTAATGGCCAAGATTTTATTTATGAAAAACATCAGTCAGCTTTTTTGACAAGTCCATTGTGTCGACCATAAAATTAAATATTGTTGAAATGTTGACTTTCAACGAGACTGTTAATATCCTAATATATCATTAACACATTTTTCAAAAACCTGCTTCTTTCTAGATGTTGTTCGTAAGTACAGTATGCTCTAAGACTTGCATATCGAGTCAACTGCGATACATAATCTCCATATGCATTGGTTAAAGATATACATGTACTAGAACTTTTATAATTCATGGGGGTTTTTTTATATAAAAAATAGATTTAACATTTAAAATTATTAAACTAAATAAAAATTTTATTGAACTATAACTATTTTTCTAATATACTGTATCTATATTTTTTCTAAAACCTACCGGTATTTCTAGGCTCTTTGTCCAGCATTGTTTTATCTGTGACAATGAATTTTAAAAGTAATTTAAGGTAGGAGATTTCTGCATATATAAGCATTCAAAAAGGTTGTTAAAAAAGATTAGGTGCCACAGAAGAGTAAACATCCCCTGTAAACAGATGACACCCGCTCCATGTCCCATGATAGGACAAACAGGAAAATCTGAAGACAATTCAGTGTAAAAACAAACAACTGGTATGAAAAACGTCAGTCAACATCAGCTTTCTACTTAATGTTCTATTATGTTTGCTGACAAGGTAATATTGTATCGACCATTACTTGTTTATCATTGGCTTGCCTATTTTAAAAATTATTCGTACGTCGAGCATTCTCTTGTGTATTGTGTTCATTCAGATACATAAACCCCATATCAAGTTAATTAAAAGTCATCTCGTAAAAAAAGTTTTAACGAGTTAACTTTTAATTAAAGAAAATCATTTCGAGGTTATTATCTCCTTTGAAAGGGTTAATGATCTCGTTATAGCTGGTAATATATCTTTCGGAATAACGTATTTGTATTTTGTTTCAGTCGATGGGTGTGCCTACTTCTTTTTGACACTGTTCTTTTCAATAATTATACACGTTCTTGTTGTGTTTCCAACTTGTGCTGTTTCATAGGGTTAATGAGGTTGGTTACGCTGAACGTTAACTTCACCTTATTTTCCTTTTCGTTCGTTTATGTAAAGTAATGGTCAAATAAGCTTCGATAAAACCTAAGGTGATAAAAGATTGCGTGGTGGAGAATCTTTGTGATTTTGTGCGTTTGTTATTTGCACAGAAATCCTTTCAAAATAGCATGTTGTTACTAGTAGCTAAAAAGAAGAAATAAATGAACAGTCAGATTGGTAATTCATATGTAATTTTTAAAGACAAAAGGTTATGATACATTATACATGAAACTTTCAAACCAAATTTTGTTTAAAAGTGCAAAGATCAGAAATTTATTTCCTACAAATCAGTTACTGTAAACAAAATTTGTATTCGCGTGCGAGAAATATCCGCGAGTTCTATTCTAACTAGCGAATATTAATTGCCGCGAACCTCTTTATTTTGGCTTTCATTTTTAGTGAATATATCATCAGTCGCGTAAATCATTTCAAACTGAACATTCGCGAGTAAAAAATGACGCAACAAATAATTGGTTTACAGTAATTGGACATTTTCTGATATCAAAACTCCTGTAAATATATTGTAGCCCACGTGGTCATGCAGATGTCTCCCAGACCACGCCTGCCTCGTCCACACGGTGTCTCCTTTATTCAGAACTAGCACCACGGTCTGTGAGCTTTGTTCAGCTGAAGTGGAATACAGGGTTGATATATGTATTCCATTTTGCATTATTTCGATGTGTATATATTTATATTCCATCGCCATTATAGTGCAGGAGAAGAGGTAGAGTCCTTTACGGGGTGCTGTAAAATGTCCCGACCATGGGTTGTAGCCGTTACCCTCGTTGGTTATCAGTTTGTCGTATTTTAGAGTTTGTCCGGCTCCTAACTCGACATTTCGGGAAAGTTTTACACTGAACCCAATGGCTGGGAGAGTATCTGCAAAAATGCGCGTTCAAACCACGTTATTTATATGAAGAATTTAACCATTAAATCTATCATTCTCGAATTAATGTGTAAATAATGTTTAAACATAAAGCATGTAAAAAAAATCATGTATATGCGCTGCGTTTGCATAACTCTGTCAAAAAATATCCTTGAAGCATTAAATTTTAGAAAATAACTTTATTGTGTATTTTTGTTTCACAACGAAAACTCTTTTAGACATTCTCCGTTAAATACTTTTAATGCACAAACTATTTTCCCCATAGGATAGTCAACTATTTTTCATAACAATGAAATAATTTAAATTATTTAAGATGTGAATTTTAACTTACCGTTTGAGCAATTAACAATAGGTAAGACGAAAGCTGTGAGAACAGGTAGAACTATAAGCATAACTTTTGTCATCTTCCTCGATCTTCGTTTATGTTATAAAGAAAAATAAAATTGATCAAATGTTATCTCATTTCATTAAAGACACTCGTAAAGAATTCATTAAACCCTCTAAATTCCATTTCTTTTATTAAAAAAATCATTTACATCAAGTTTACACAAAATAAGATTCATGGCAAAAGTCAATTCAATGTATAATACAAGTCAAAGGTTGGCAAAGATATAGGATTGGTTCAATGCAAGCTCTTTATAGTTTAATGATTGTTTAAAAAACAGTATTCCAGTATTTTCATTCAAATAATGGTTTGAGACTTTAAGGGGGTTTGAATTCCCTATGATGTCTAATTACAATGAACAGAGACTTAGTGAGCGCCTTTACTTAGAGGCTATCAGATATAGCAAGAAACCAATCAAATATGGCGGATAAATTCCTTTTACGGATCGTCTCCATCTTTAAGAACAGAAAGTAAACCAACTATTATACATACCTTTCTTGTTAGCAATACCCCTGGTTAAACTGCCTAGAAATTTTCTTCACTCATGTGCATGATGTGCCTGTTTATATAATGGTCTTTACATCACATGACATCGCATTCAGAAAGAAGGAAACGTCAGCATCACACTTGTAAACCCAAGTTTAGACAGAAGTTTAAACCAGAATTCTTGTGGGTTAAAGATACAAAAGTTTTCCTCATTTCACTTTTTATAAAGCCATTCGTAAATAATATAGTTATTTCAATAAGGAAGTTCTTAAAATTTAAGAAGTTTCCTTATTACCATGCTTCACCATCTTATGCACTTGTATCTTGTAAATAACAATAAATTATCTAATACGGTATATTTACAAGTTAACCGTATTTTGTATACTTGCTCACTGTCGAAAAATAAAATGATTATGTCGTGTCTGCATTCAGTGATGGGTCGAGGTATATACATGTACACTGTATGTACGAACATATATGTACGAACAGAACTGACAGACGAATTAGATTTAATGCCCCCTAACTTTTGCGAGCAGGGGACAATAACCTCAAGTCCTTCTTTACTACCTTGACCAACATCAGCAAAGTTTTTCATATCTACGAGGGCTGTTCAATAAATAATGTCCTGAGCTCTATGACATACAGAATACTGAAATCCTATGACATTAAGCTTGAATTTCTCTTAATGATTGAATCTCCAATGAATAAATTACGGTTTATATGACAACTTTTCACCATATAGTTTCACTGTGAAAAGCTGGAAAACAAGGGCTATTCGAGACACTGCATTATAAATGAATGGAAAAGAATCAGTAAACTAGAGTGAGATTAAACGCTTCATGAAAGCTGCTGTTAAACTCCTTAGGAATCCCTAAGAAATATTTACTGAAATATGTGAAATTTACATCAACCAATGTTTGTTTTATTGACACAACAGTATGTGGATTTTAATCAACAAAATTTATATAATGGGCATCAAAAATGGGTACCGTCCTTAGCGACAAAGACTTACAAAAATCAATGCACTGTTTGCCAAAATTCAAAATATCACTGATGATGTTTGACTGCCTTTAAGACACATAGCAAAATTGATAGGCATCATTTTGGGGGTAGTTTACACTGTTTGCAAGAAACATTTAAAGATATGCCGTATTTGTGTTTTATTTTTTTTAAAGAAATAAATATATGTGGTGTCTCATCAAGTTATATAAGTTATATACTTTCTGCAAATAAGACAATTCCACTCTATCACTTTTAAAAGTTATGAAATATTATTTGGTAAAAATTATTTTCTCTCCGAGTCGGATAATAAACCGCCTCTTATTGAAATATTCATGATCACGTGGTCTCGCATGCTCAAAGCAAACAATGGTCCAATCTCGTGAATGAACCGAAAAGCATGATGGTCTACTACGTTTTTACTACAAACACGTGAGTTAGGGATTGTCAATACGTGAGCACACCTCAGAGTTGGTTGCTTTTGTACCGAGGAATAATCACGTGCAATTGTCTTAATTTTCACTAACAGTACAGCACGGGGAAACTCTAAACAAACGAACCTGTACAATGGAGCGGGGAAAACTTTAATTTTTATCGTTGTTAATCATTTGTATGCAAATATGAACATAGGATTAGTAGATAATAATGCACATAATGCATTAAGCGTTTAAATGCTTGGAAAAATGTATCAAGTCTTTCCGAGAGCGATTTAAAAAACTAGCCTTTTCGAAAAACACATGTAGTATTTTATGTAGTAACCCATAAATGCATTAAATGCAACTCACTGAGCTGATTGGTCGATTTGTCAGTTATATTGGTTCCTCACTGAACAGACACGTCACAAAAAATATTTTCCCCGACCTGATGATTCTCGCGATGCTTTTCCCGTGCACATGCGCAGATCCAGGATAAACGTCAGTCCTTTATAAATATGCATGAGAATATCATGTTCTTTTCCCGACCAGTACTTTGTTAATACCGCATAATATTTCGTCGAATTTGCAAGAATGCTTCATTTTTGATAGCTAATCATACTTCAGAAATTTTTATTCGGTTTCAGCTGTGCAAAAATACTGTTTAACACGGCATACATATCTTTAACTGTAAAAAAGCTTAGTACTTAATGGTCACAATATACGTTGAAAAATGAATGAAAACGACAGAGTGTAAGAATATCTAAATTATTTTAAAATATCAGTAATTGTAGTTATCCACGTTTGTAACTTTGTTTGATATTCAAACAGATCATGCAACTTGAATCCATCGCTTCAAACCCTCAAGACAAATTTAAATAGGATACACTTGACAAAAACAGCGAAGGTCTGTAAAGAGCAAAGAACTGCAAAAGCACAAAAACAGTTTTGTATGCCATTTTCTTAAATATTACTGGTCTTGTTCAAATTCTTATTCGGGGAGGCAGTTCAATTTCTGGAAAAGTCTAGAGAGCAAAAATTTTTGCAAAAAAAATCGAAAGGTTGATAAGAGGATGGACTCAGAATCAGGAATGCACTACATAAAATTTCGTCATGACAGCGTCCAAACCCACAGACCATGATGAGTAAAGGAGTTTTGGGGATAACCAGATAGTTAATCTTTTGTCAAACCAACAATATTCGCCATATCCTACACCCTTTGACTTGTTTCATTTTCCAAACTTAAAAAAAACATCTTTCAGAAAAAAGAAACAAGTCTATTAATAGATTTTTTGTGGCACAGCCCTACTCCCAGGGGTCATGGTTTGAACGAAATTCAATCTACACTATCTGAGGATGTTCCCAAATAAGCTTCAACTTTTATTATCCATTGTATAAGTTTCAACTTTCCTGACACATTTGTTCTTGAAACTTAAAGATTTTTTTTTTAAAAAAAAATTCCTATACATATATATATATTTGTATGTGAAACTTTGACTGTTCCTCGTGCCCCCCCCCCCCCCCCCGGCCACTAAAGATTCACTATTTCTAAATTATATCCCCTTGAATTAGGGCATGGCCCTTCATTTGAACAAACTTGAATCTCCTTCACCCAAGGATGCTTTGTGGCAAGTTTGCTCCATTGGCCCAGTGGTTATTGAGAAGATGAAAATGTGAAAAGTTTGAAAGACAAACGGATGGACTACAGACAAAATGTGATCAGAAAAGCTCGCTATCAGCTCAGGTGAGCTAAAAATGTTAACTTTTACTTATAATTTTTTATTGAGAAGAGATATGCATTAATATTTGACATGTGCAATACATATACCTAAGACAAGATATTTCTGAGCAAGCAACAATTTCTGACCCCTTGACCTTGATCTTCGTGTTTGATATAATTTTCAAAAAAATCAAATTTGGTAATAACTTTTGAATGTCATTTGATATGACATTTATATTTGACACAATATTTCCGACAGTCTTCAAGTAACTAACTACATCTCTCTGGACATTTACTGCACAGACTGTCAAATCTCTAATGAAATCCATGCATATCTGCTAAACTCATAGAAGTGGCTATTAGTTCTCTATCTCATATCAGACCTATTAGTTACTCCCATTCATATATTCTCCATTGATGCTTGCCCCTTTGTCTTTTCAACAATATGCACTTAGCTTGAATGTAGACTTAAATCAGAACATCTGTCTATAGGATAAATATACATGTCCACTTCATACTTGTAATAAGCAATATAATCTAAAAATAATATCAAAAATTGAAAACAGTACAAAAGTGATTTTTTAATAGTTTTAATTAATTGTAAAATATACAGTTTATTTACAAAATATTGACAGATCTATGACATTGTGTAGCACATTGACTGTACTGGGAGAATAATGAAAAGATAAAACTTCCACAGAAAAAAATTATCGGGGATGGTCGAGTATTTTACAGATATACAGTAAATTGCTTTGGATAATTCATCTTTTACTACAATAACTTCCGCAGAAAAAATTTTTAATGAAAAAAAAAAAAAAAACAACTTCAGCAATGTAAAATAACACTGCTTTCATTTTTAATGTTGTCTGTATGATAATTTGTAAAAATAACATACATGAACATGTTCAAGCACAGATCTTCCTAAATACCTATTCCACTAAAACTATAAATTGGATCACTACTTTAAAAAGTCATTAACATTTATACATAAAAAAAATTAACAAAGAATTGCACTTCTTCAAACAAATGAACCATTCAATATGTAGACCTCCAAAAACGTGAAACGGGCCAGACCAGCAATTCTAATGAATGGTAAAAATATCATTACTCCAAATTTTTAATTCTTCCTAAGTGATGATAAAAATAATCTACAAGAAATGTTCTTGTAATTCCTTATTATATACATATGAAACTTAAACAGTGGTCACATGTCGATGAGAGAAATCTAATTTTAACCTGCTTTGACATGGTTATATACAAGGAACTTATGCAACGGTTGTATAGTGGATGTAAACGATAAAAATATTTCAACACGGAAGGAATAGCGGTCACAACAGGAATGATAGACACCAATGCTAGGAGCCATGATACTGATCTAACAATGAGGATGAGGATAAAAATAATGATAGATGCCCTATGAATAATACAAAGAGTTAGCTGCTAATCATGAGTGACAACAGAAATAAAATTTCATTCAGCAAAGTCAACATCAAAATAACATTGCAGTTTAAGTGTATATAAATATTTTTATATACTTTTGAATAAGCACACTATGTCCCCCTCTTTTGACAATTAGGATAGGTAACTCTGTATAACCAATCGTGAGTTGTTTCCCTTTAGCTTTTTTTACATTGGTTTCTCATTGTCATCATCTCCCTTTAGTTTCTTCGCCTGACCACCTCCCACCACCTGGGGTCTGAAAGGGGAAAGAAACCAAGTGAATTCATTATATAAATCTCATTGTAAAAATATACATTTCTGGAAAGTATAAAATAAAATTATGGTAGATAACCTTTTCAATACATTGTAGAAAAGATTTTCAAATGAGGACTTCCAAACATACATGTATATATTTTTATGTTGAAAACAGTATATCTATATATGATTCAAATTATTTGGCAAATACTCCCAAAAGATCATCAGTTCTAATGAATCTTAGAGAATTACTCACCCATCCCCTTGAGCTGGGATAGCTCTTTTGATGGCAACCTTTTGAGCAGCAGGACTCTGGGCATCTATACGAAATCATTTAAAATCAATATTTACTACTAATTTCTACTTAAAGTCAGTTTAGAATTCAAATCTGTTTACTGTTAACATAATTTGTGAGTGTAATCCTGTGTTATCCACTCTTCAAAATACTTTTTTTAGTGAGTCTATAAAGGTTCAAAAGTCTTTTTTTTTAATAAAAGAAACCAAGCATTCTCATGATGCTTGGATTGATTTATTTTACAATACAATGAATCCTACATGTGCATTCTTATGATTACAACAATTATAGCATGAAGAATATTCCTGACATACCTTGAAGCCACCTGACTTGCGTAGCTGGACCATAACCCTTCTCATTACGAGCAGCGATTCTGAAAATGATGGCAGGCTTAGTTGTGTAGTCAATGTGTGCTGATGCAAGGCTGGCTGCAGTCACGGTACAGGTGGGGGCGGGGCCACAGTAAACACGGACAAAGGCCAGCTGGGCCGGGGCCCCAGGCTTCTGGTCTACGTGGGCAGCAGCATTACGTACAGCCAGGTATACCGAGTACTCAGTGATCTTGCCAGCTGTATTCTGTGGAGGTTCCCAGGAGAGGTGGGCACCTTCTGTACTCTACAAAACATAATGAACTCTCTTTTCATGATTCTACTTGCCAAGATGATGCATGTAAAAAAACCTTTTTAGATAAAAGATTGAGAAGTAAAAATCAGATTCATATCACTTTGTTTTAAAGAATGAATTTAAAATTCAAGTTCATAAGTTATAACATGCTATTGCCATGCTTTAAAGACGTACAACACACTGGGGGAGATAACTCTTGCGATTTCAATTGAACGTTTGACGTGACGTCGAATGTAACATCAAAAATAAAGCGTCAAAATGACGAGCAAAACGATCCCGATGTATATCAATCATAAAAGAAAATGGGATATGGGGCTTGGCTGTGAATATGAGTACCATACTCAATCAATAAGTATTTTTTAATTAACCCGATTAAACTCCATAAAAAGCAAGACATAAAATACCATCCCTTAATGTTTATTTCATTTCATTCCATATACAATAAATTGTAATCATGATCAAAGCGCAGCATTTTTTTTTTTTATTCTGAAAATTTTATTTTACATTGCCGAAATTCTCATTATGTACAATTGGCTATATAACATTCCGATTAATTAATGGTCTTCATTACAATTTGTGCATTTACGATATAAATATTGTTTTTCTTCTTTAATTAAATAAAACAAGAATAAACAAACATAAAACTTTTTACAATGTAAAATCGACGTTGTTCTCAAACCCTTACTAATCAAAGAGGAACAACTCTGAAAATGTAGGAGATGTTTATTTTCCACCCTTTATTCACGGTTTTCCACAGAATCAGATACATTTACAGGAAGACCTGATAAATCCGAGAATTGAATACTGTAGACCTCATATACACAATGTAAGTATAGAGTTGAAAAGAATTTTTCACTAGTACTGAAATTATCTGCATTTATGAATATCGGCTATTGCAGCAAATCGTTTGACTTTCTGTCACTGTCAACAATGCAATGTCGGTTCGCATTTCCTCGAATCAAAACAAAACGTAGCCCATAAGATTTTTAAAAATATCAATGTGCGATTTGATATAAATTCAAATAGATGAAGAGTTTAATGTTTGATATTTTGAAGTTAATGTGGACGAATACGGAATTTTCATTTTAACTTTAGAAGCAACGACATTGAAAGAATGCGTACTATATCATGAGGGGTGTACATCTATGCAAATGTCGATGTATCCCCACGGCCACATACTGTCTCGATCGTTTGAAATAATGACATGAAAGAAACTACAATTATTCCATTTGTATCACAGGGGAATTGAACATACACCACTTTTTTTATAAATAAAATTAAAGAAATAAAATTAAAAATCGACATATTCAAGTTCAACATAACTTGAATTCGTATCCAGGTTTCATGTGATATGGAATGCATAACGCATACATATATGGACTAAACACTAAAATCCTTCATAATTTTTTCCTGAGACATATAAAAACAGTAGTCAATATTTATTCTGCATTCATGAATTTAAAAACTAATGCATACCACCGGGATTTAAATGACGAAATACTAGTATATTTGCACTGTAAACGACGTTTCGTCAAACGCTAACATTGGTCTGCGACGCAAAAAAGGAAGGGGTGGGGGTGGTAGGGGTATTCAAAAATTGCCTAAAAATCTACATTTAAATACGCTTTACATATGAGAACTTTTAAATTTGTAAGTTAATATATTTTTGAAGCAAAAGCAATATTCCAATATGATTTTTTTTAAATTTGTATTTGTAGATTCATAGCAAAGTGATCGACCCCCGTCTGAAAGACGCGCGGGAAAGTGATTTATTGAGAAAGGGGGAGGGGGTAATTTTCCGCTATTAAATCAAAACTGGTCGTACAAAAATTATTCAAAAAATTATGAAGATTATTTTTACTACCAGCTACCTAAAGAAAGTTTTTTACCAAAATTAAACGACAGGTTTTTTCACAAAAAAATTTTGAATTTGAAAAATACACAATTTTCAAGGCTTAGATAATTCATAGTTTTTCAGTTTAAGGTCTTTGAAAATTGTTTTGATGCTATGTATATCAAAAAGATGACTATGTTTTTGTGTTGAATGGTTAAAGGAATAAGTCCATGAAATTTGACAGTTATATCTAACCTGGCTTTTTTGAAAATCGAGGTTTAAGTAGTTCATTGATTAAAAAAATTCTCTCCTTGTAAACAACTAAAGGGGGGTAACTTTTGGAAGTTCCTGTCCAAAAACCACTCGAACGATTTTGTTCAAAATGTGCATACATGCAGTAGATATAGTCATGTACCAAATATACAAAAATAACGAAAATTAAACGACAGGAATTTTTTGGGGTAGGTGTGTTGTACATCCTTAATAGTACATAACAAGTCTGTTGTACTGTATACAAATAATCAAGAAATTTTTACTACTAATGATTATTATTAGAGCCTAATCCTGAAGCACATGATTTTCAAGGCTTTGCTTTTAAAATATTTTTATAAAGCAAATAAATTATCCTTTCCCCAGTTACTATTCAAAAGCAATGACATAAAGCAATGACACAGCAAAATAATCACATAAAATAAGCAGAGAAGATAGACAGATGGAAGAAGCAAATAAAGATGATAGATAGATTGAACAAGCCTGTGGGTGATGCTGACCTTTCCTCCTACCTTGCTGATCTTGATGGCTGAGGGGGCGCCCGGGTAGCCAGGGAGGCAGGTCTTAAAGGCTGAGATCTCACTGAACGCGCCGCGGCCGCACGCATTGATCCCCGCCACACGGAACTTATAGGCCGTTCCCGGGAGGAGTTCCTGTTTCTTCAAGACGTTCACATCCCCAACATTCACCACGTCTATGTCCTATATAAAAAAGGAGAATTTCAATAATTAACTCACTACTGGATTTTTTATTTAACAAGCACTTTCAAAAATTTCAAATGATTTTTTTTTAGATTGAGTTGTGTAAAATAAAAAGTAACTTGTCAAAAATTAAATATAAAATCTTGTGATATATTAAAGGAAAAAGAATTGTTATCTTACTTAATACGATGCAAAAAAGCCTCCACTCAGAAAAAGTTATGCACATAATTCCAAGTGACATTTTACAGATTAAATTTTTTTTTTAAGTAATGTGTTTTACTCCTGGGTCACCTCTTCTTCTTGATGCAGTAGCTCAAAGGTTATAGGTCAAATACTCTCAATGGTTCTTCAAACTCACAGCAATGACAGTGCTTACATCTATGATTCCAGTAACACGCTGTGACAGTAAGATAACGGTACATTTGCCTATTGAAACTTACGTTTCCATTACCGCTGGCTTGCAGGGCGTCAGCTGAGAGATAGAAGTGAGACACGACACAGGAGGTGCCCTTGATGATCCCCACGTCGTACCATTGGTTCCCCTCCTTCTTTACTGGAGTGGTCGGTGTCCTAGGTACCGCCTCAGGCTTGTCCTGATAAAACAACACAATATTTGATAATCAACATATTCCAGAATGATGGGGAAAAGTTTAAGCGTTTTCATACATATCCTGTAGATGTTTTTTATGATATTCCTGTACAATTGAAAATGTAACACAAACCCAAAAATATAATCTAAGCCAGTGTGCTTGTGTTTTGACTATAGTATTATTCATTTTGTCTTTTTTTTAGAATATGGCTATTCCTGATTGCAGTCTTGAAAATTGTATTGAAAAATCCACTGTGCCTCAAATTACTATTCAAACACTTTACAGTCTTAATTTTTCCTTTGAAGAAAAAATCATTTAGTGGTCTAAATATGCATGTTATAGGATTTTTTTTATATAGATGCAAGTGAAATTTAAGGGAAAAAAAAAACGTTATCAACATGTATATCTGATTACTACATTCAATTTCAAAATTTTCCATAAACTTTTTTCTTCAGCTGATATAAAGCCTATTACCTGTACCTCCTGTTTAATTCCATTGGCTGCTAGAACACCCGGCTCCTGTTTTATGGTGGTCTGAGCTGTGCCAGATGATATCGCTGCTGAGGCCAGAGTTGCCAGAGGATCTAATAGTAAAACGCAAAATAAGACATACTATCAAATTAAGAAATGTTTCTCGTTTAACTGTGGTCTTGAAATTATTTAGTAAATTCACACAAAGGGTTCATTTATCAACCGAAAGCGAGGCTGCTATATGCGTAACAAATTCATTACAAGACAAATTCTTGCTTCATGAAACTGTTTAAGAACATAATTATTACCTCCATCAAATGATAACACTAAATCTTACGACGTTCCTAAAGCCACAAGACCAATCAATCTTACCAGAGTCTGCTGTAGAAGTATCTATAGGCTGGGGAGGTGTGGCCCCTACTGGAGGTCCCACGGTCAGTATTGTGCCCTGGAGGGTCGCTACAGGGGATGGCCCAATATCCATAGGTTCTTCCTGCTTAGGAACAATAGGAGTTATCTCTCCTTGTGATGCAGGCACTGCTGTTGTGGAATCTGGAACAGGTGCTTCCTCAGGCGGTGCTTCCTGAGGTGGTGCTACCTCCGGTGTGGGTGCCACCTCTGCTGCTGGTGCCACTTCCTGTGGTTGTGTCACTGGTAATTCTGGTTGAGAAGCATCCACTGGTGCTGCCGTGTCCATAGCTTCTGGTTCCAGTTTAGGTTCAGTATCTTGCATCAGGATCGCAGGAACTTGCTCCGATACAGACACTGCAGCATTTGTGTCCAGTGGGACAGAGGGAGCCACCACAGCAGCACTATCTGGGAGGTCAGAGGTCACCTGCTGCCCTGAAGTTTGGTCTGGGTTCTCATCCCCTGGACAATTGTGGCCATCTGTGCAAACATTAGATGGCTGGGGATTTTCATCCCCGGGACAATTGTGCCCGTCTGTGCAAACATTTGATGGCTGGGGATTTTCATCCCCTGGGCAATTGTGCCCGTCTGTGCACACTCCAGGCTGAGGATTTTCATCTCCTGGGCAATTATGTCCATCTGTACAGACTCCAGAGGGGTTTTCATCCCCAGGACAGTTGTGTCCATCAGTGCAGGCATTAGTCGACTGGGATTGATTACCATCACCAGGACAATTATGCCCATCAGTACAAACATTTTGGGATTGTGCAGTCTCGTCGCCCGGACAATTATGCCCATCTGTACACTGTCCTTTAGCAGCAGGAGGAACTCCATCGACTTCATCACCCGGACAATTGTGTCCATCTGTACATACATTAGATGGTTGTGGATTTTCATCACCTGGGCAATTATGCCCATCTGTACATACAGCACTGGGCTGAGTTGTCTCATCACCTGGACAATTGTGGCCATCGGTACACACTGCAGGTTGAGGAGGTTCATCACCTGGGCAATTGTGACCATCAGTGCATACTGCGGGTTGAGGAAGTTCATCACTAGGGCAATTGTGACCATCAGTGCATACTGCGGGTTGAGGAGTTTCGTCTCCTGGGCAGTTATGACCATCAGTGCAGGGTTGCGTGACGGTTGGCACGACTTGTACTGTGGGCTGGGCCTGGACAGCCCCTGAAGCTGCTGCTGGGGTGATAGTTATCTGGACTGGTTTTCCGCCGCCCCCTGTGGCCTGGATGGGCGTGGCTGAGACTGTCTGAGTGGTCAAGGTGACCGGAATCTGGGAGACTGAAGGCTGTGTGATGAGGGAGATTGTGGGCGTTGACTGTGTAGGAGCGGATCCAGCGGTGGTGTTAATGAGGAGAGAGGTGGCGGATCCAGCCAGAGTTGTGGGCGTGGCCTGAATAGTCTTCACTATAGTCCCTCCAGTCCCTAGAGTAACAGAAGAAAATAGAAAACTATACTTCCTATAGTAACAGAAAAACATATTTTCAAAAAATTTTAAAGATTTTTTACCACCTTTGATAAAAAAAAGACTGACAATAGGGAATCTTCTTGTGTAACCTAAACTGGATGCCCCAAGAGTCAAGGTCAGGTCTAAGGTAAGACATGAATGGAAGGGGTTTCAAACTAGGCAAAATAATAAGTAACTGTGAAAAGGGTAAGGCATACAGCAACTGTTGTGGGGCAGTTCCCCTTATGTTTACAAGAAAACGACAAATATGCCTACAAGAGATTTACCTTGTTGCAAACATTTCTGCCAACCCTTAGTATTTATGAATGTCTATCAAAGAAGGGAACTCCAAAAATGAACCAGAATTTTTCAGGAGTTGTCTGTAGTTACCTTGCTGAATGACTGGCTTGGCGACTTGTGAGGCTGTGACGATCTGATGACCGGCTAGGGTCACACCTGACGTCGTCTGTAGAGTCGTCACCTGAATGGGCTTGCCCCCTGTAAAGATATGTTATATGCTATTATTAGTATCTCAACATCTGCATCAATGAGTACTGTATATAAACAGAAATTTTAGTGAGTTTTCACCAATTTCTTTTATATGTGAATATGAACTGAAGTGAACCAATCTTTTTATCATTAATGCATCGACAGTTACAAAAATATTAGGAGATATCATTTTGATGATTCAGAATAAAAAAAACTTTGATTTATGGCTGGCTTACAATATTTCAGTTAATATATTCTTAACAAGTACATAAAAAGATACATTTTGCCCCAATCATTTAAGGTGTTACTTTGAAGAAGAGAGAAAAACAACAATGTCAGTAAAATACAGATTGAAGTAAAACAGAAGTTCATCAAGAACTCCATAATTCTATAAATAGATCCATGTTTATATCTAACCCACCTGATGTGATGGTATGTGCCCCACCCACCTTTAAATACATATCTGTGGGCTGACCACGATGAACTGTGGGCTGACCACGATGAACTGGGTGTTTCCCTGGCCGGCTATTTTGGGGACTGAGCTGATGATTTTGTGTGGGGTCCCTGTCAGTCCCCCAGTGCTGCCTTTGGGTGCTGCTATGACGATGGTTTTAGCACCACCTGAAGTCGTTGCAGTGCTGGTTCCTGCTTTGGCCATTGACAGCATGGAAGATGGGATAGTTTTGATGATGGTTTTTGTTGTAGATGACTGAAAATGAAAATTATACAAGCTTCAATATGCCTTCCTGTTAAGCTATACATACTTCTATATGTAATTCACAGAAGATTTAAGAAATAAAAATACAAAAACAAAAGGTGTTTTGCTCATGCTTGGCATAATTTTTTTTTTCTTAACAGCATTATAAAAAATTATTTTGGAATGATTGAAACTTCACGTTTTATTTTCAAAGAAACATTTGTATCTTACAAACTGACACTGACATAAGTCTCTAAATCTTAAGAGAAACATATTAGACCTCATATTGTGTAAATATGCAAAGTTTGACAAAATTCTGTGCAGCGGTTTATGAGTTGCGCTGACAAACTTTCATCTCTATATTCAAGGTATGGCTATATATGCATTCTTCTGAAGATATTAAAACTACATTTACATGAACAATATGTATATAGCAACTTCAATCCACCATAAGGCTATAACAATGTACTTAAATGTACTTTATTGTACCTGGGGTTGTACACTGCTGATTCCTAGAATTGTTGATGGCGTCTGGCCTGGCTGACTCGTGGTGATGATGGCGGTGGGCTTACCGGTACCACCGGCCTGTGTGGTGACAAGCTTTACAATGGTGGCACCCTGTGGCAGTGGCCCCTTTGTCTGTAAAGGAAATTGGGAACTTGAAACTGACTTTAGACCATAAAATCTACAGTATATCATTTAATATTTTGATAAGTCTTCATGCATTCATAAATTCAAAAATAATGTAGTGATAAACAAAACCTGTAGACTGTTAAAGAAAAAACATTTCTGTACATGCCTTGGTTTGTCTTGACCAGTCTAACATGATACAGCAAAACATCAGTAGAACAGGGATATTGCAAATTTAAGGATATAGCGAGTCATCTTAGATCCCCACCTATATAAAGTTAATGAATTTCTTACACAGTTATAACGAATTACGGATGCAACAAAGTAATTTCATAGGTCCCTGTGACTTCGTTATAACCGATTCTTGCAGTATAACTTACTGTGGCCACCTGCATGCCTTGGTTTGTCTTGACCAGTGTCACATGATATAATTTACTGTGGCCACCTGCATGCCTTGGTTAGTCTTGACCAGTGTCACATGATATAACTTACTGTGGCCACCTGCATGCCTTGGTTTGTCTTGACCAGTGTCACATGATATAACTTACTGTGGCCACCTGCATGCCTTGGTTTGTCTTGACCAGTGTCACATGATATAACTTACTGTGTGGCCACCTGCATGCCTTGGTTCACATGATATAACTTACTGTGGCTTCCTTGGTTAGTGACCAGTGTCACATGATATAATTTACTGTGGCTACCTGCATGCCTTGGTTTGTCTTGACCAGTGTCACATGATATAACTTACTGTGGCCACCTGCATGCCTTGGTTTGTCTTGACCAGTGTCACAATCTGAGGCTGCCCGGTGGTGGACGTGCCCCCCGTGCTGGCCTTGTGGACTGTAATGATCTGTTTTCCACCAATCGTCTGTTGGATGGCTCCTGGTGTAGACTTAAGGATGGTGGCTCCTGGGGTAGCCACTCTCACTGTGGGGGTTGTTGGATTAGCTGAAGTAGCTGAAATATCAAACAAACCCCATCAATTTCAAAAATTTCATCTTCCATCCTTAGTTTTTAACTTGAACTATAAAAGTTATTTAAAATTTGATGTAGTACCAGTCATAACAGATATATGAGGGCCGTTCAAAAATTATGCGGACTGTGCTATTATTTACTCTTACAGAAGTCATATAGTTATGAAATTTCACAGAAATATGTATCTTAAAGATTTCAATAAATTTTGGGCAAAATTCCTGTATTTTAAAAAAAATTTACTCAAATTATCGGTATGTTGATAACGCTGATATAGAGGTATGGAGCAAGAAAAAAAAAATGAAGCAAAAGCATGCGAAATCCAAAATTTAACTCATTATTTTCCTATATTTTGCGGTATTTTTCAACAATTTTCTCAAATGTATCTTTAAATTGTCTATTATTATTATTTAGGTTTCTGACCTGATATTTGAAGTAGTAACTGAAATATAGTGATTTTTCTCTGATGCGATTCCCGTGATATTGGCGTCTCCTGAATTGACAGCGCAAGACACTTTTGTTAAATTATGTGTAATGCTCGAGATATCGCCAACATAGATCCAAAATATGCATAATAAAACATGTAGTAAACTAGGGTATTCGTGACATCCGTCCACAAATAGCAAATTGAAATTTTAGACCGTTAGACCTTAGAAAAAAGACTATAGGGGAGGACGAGAAGAAGATTATCGACGAAAACTTTATCCGGACTGTAGAGAACGTGATTGAGAGTCACCAATATCACAATACATCTCATAAATACCTGCAGTTTTTGGTTTTAAAACAAAAAAGAATATTCTTTACTTGTTTAATAGATTTTAAGATTGACAAGAAATGGTGTTTGGATGTTGAGTAGATAAGGTTACTCAAACTGTACATGTAATCTTGGGAAAATGTTGAGAAAATGAAAGCTCAATCACATATTTTTTTATAATGCCTGTGATGTCAAAGATTTTGCTGCTCCCCGACTTTATGATATGTCCTGAAAAATCACTCAAAATTGATACCAATTTACAACATTTTGGAAAGAAATTTTGAAGACCGTATAAGTAAAGATTCTTTTATATTATGTGTGACGTTTTGCCCGATTATGTCGTCAAATATTTTTTCTATGCAACAAGTCCGTGTAATTTTTGAACGGCCCTCGTACATGCATTGTACATGTTTATTTTACAGTTGTCAAATTCATATCGTTAAATGAATAGTTTAACGGCAGAATTAAACATTCAGTCTACATATATCCTTTCAAGTATTCATCAATATTAACAATGCTTTAGGTAAGAGAAATATTTTTGCTTCAATTTATTACAGTCAGTGAAATTAATCACAATAATTTCATTGTAACAACTTCAAGATCTGAAACACATAAAATTTTTGCAAAATGAACTTTGACATAACCCTAAAACGTTTTTGGTTAATCTTCAAATAATGTCTTTGTCTATGAACTGTTCATGTAAACAAGGCACTTCAAGCAGACTTACTTTTCAGTGCTTGGTTCCCAATAGGTGTGACCTTGACCCCTGTTGGAGTTACAATTGTTGGGGTCACGACCTTGATGCCCGGAGTGGAGGGAGTGGTGGTGGTGCCTGGAATTTTCTGGGTGGCTGCTGCGGCAGCTGCCAGAGCCTGAATACCAGACATTTGATTACCAGTCTACAACATACACAAAACGTTGGTCACCTTTCTATTTAAATACTTCACACCAGAAAACAAAATTTACTCAAAATTGACAAATTTACCATGGACACAAAACTTTTGCATGTGGAATAAATCTAAGACATTTGATAGAGATATTAAAACTATTTATAGAAGAGAAATAGAAGCCAGTGCTTTATTTGATTACCGTGTTGGATACTACGGCTCGCTGCTGAGGCAGGGTCACGACCTGAGGGGAGGCCACTCTAATTGTTCCAGGGTTCACTGTGATTGGTGTCTTTTGTCTGGCGGTTACAGCTGTTACTATAAATAGCAGTAAAAAAAACTTAATCACATGTTAACCTACAGAAAAAAAATTATCGAGAATTATCCTATGCACATCAATTCAATAGTTGCTTTTTCAATGAAAGATGTCATTAATATATGCCGATTCAAATCACTGACTGAAAAAGTATGCTTGTTCACTTAGCAAAAATTGAATAATTTATGTTGACTTCAATGTCATTATTACCTAATTAAAAGAAATTTTCTATTTAATCTAATCTTTGGACAAACAAAAAACATCAGGCAGACATAAAAAGCATGGAGTTAGTTTTCTACATCAAGTTAAAATACCTGGGTAATAAAATCCAGCACCAATGCATACAGGTACAAAAAGTCTAATCAAGAAGTGCATCAAATTTAAATTCTGTCACTAATTAAATACATCCACTATTGTTCTTTATTTTAAGCTACAAAGCAATGAAATAAAATTGCTGACATTATTGAAAATCAAAAAGAAAAAAAAATTGGACATAAAGCTGTGTACAACATGGGAAACAACAAATACCGTAATCCTCTGGATAAAAAAGATCAGATTTTTTATTTCTTACAATAATCCATGAAGCACACAGTTTTCCTCCATATATAAGGGGCTCTGTGCATTACCAAAACTACTCAAAACTAGTACACTGTAGGGAAGTTACGAAAGTCCCAAACTATCAAAATATTGTTGCTGAAGGCAAACACATCTGTGACACTTGATAATTTTTTTTAAAATGTTGTCCCTAATACCCCCCAATATTCCTTTATACAAACTGGTATCTTTTAAGTGGCTTTTTTGTACACAGGCGAGTCAGGTCACACAGTGATGTAACCCTCAGTGGATTTTAACTGGTTGGGAAACATTTCTACTGGTGTAAAAAATGAAGGGGATACTAATTTTTCAGAGTGACCAATATTTTTTATTGACTGGACTAGAGAGGTAAAAATAGAAGTTTGGTAAAGACTGCTAAATGCATTAACTACGGGAGGAATACAGTATTTGTTCTAGTGAAAAATTCCTATAATTAGCCAAATCAAAGAAAATGAAATAAACAAATCAAAATAAATAATAAACAAATTACACATTGCTTCAAACATGTCCAATATGCAAAAACACCAATATCTATTTTTTTGGGAGATAAATTAGATATTAAAGCATCTTATCATGCTATGGTGACATGTATTGCAGACTCACTTACACCTGGCTTGCTGATTTGTAATTTCTACATCACAATTCACCCATTATCTTATGGGGTCAGCTAAGATAATATACAGACATGCAAAAAGTCGTAGAGATCTACCTCTAATTGTTTGTGGCGATGCCATGGTAACGGAGCCTATTGCTCCAGAATTTGTTCGAATCTGTGCAATTCCTAAAAACAGGTACAAATAAAGCTTACTTGTCATGGGTACATTGTACATAGATTGTCTAATCATCAAATCAAGATCTAATAAATGCATCATTCCTAATAATATGGGAGTGTGCTTTTGTACTAAATTTTATCTATCTTTTACGTTATGTCATTTTCTTTCTTTTTTATAATCAGATATAGCAGATGTAGAAACTTCTGTCCCTCATACACCTCCTTCCTTGAGAATTTTATAGTCTAAAATAAAATGGGTCAAGTCCTGGAAATGTGGGCTTATTATTACAAGAAAGCAGAGAAAAGAATAAAATCACTATCACACCAAGACCTCACCTGCAGAAAGACAAGTGTAGAAAATATTCAACATTAATGTTTAAATCTCCAGAATTCGTAAGTCGGAGTTCTAGGGTTATCTTCCCTTACCTGGCGTTGGCGTCCTGACCACTGTGGGTTGTGGAGTACTGGGGGAGGTGACGGCCTTCATCAGGGGGTTGGTCTGAGGGACCGCTGTGGGGGTGAGGGCCTGGGAGGGGGGTAGGTCGTATTTCTGTAGCTGTAGAAGATAAGCGTCTGCGGTAGGCACAGCTCCCCAGCATACCTCCAGTGTGTTTGTACTGGCTCTGACCAGCTGTACACGTGATGGAGCTGGAGGCTTCTCTGTAAACACATCACAATTATTTCCCATGTGTTAATTCAATGATTACCTCTTGTTAAAGTGTTCCATGCCTCTTTCTTACTATCAACTACCACTGTGTGACTCGGTCTTCAACTCTTCTCACACGACATGACTAAATGATACTTATTTTTAAATTTTGAAATGTTTCAAATATTGTTAAAAGAAAATTGTTCTATTTATATGCAACTTATTTTTAGCAATCTTACCTGTTTCAAGAAACCACAAATCTTTAAAGCACACCTGAAAAGAAATCATTGTATTGTACAATACATCAAAATAATTAAGTCAATTACTGTAAACCAATTATTATACGCGTCATTTTTTATTCGCGACTGACCGCTAGAAAACTAATCCGCGACGATTTATTTCCGCGAAGAAGTCGTCACATTTTTTATTTCCACAAGTATTTTTTGTTTCAAATTAAAATCTTATATTCGTCCATAAACTAGGTAAAATGCTATCGTGAGTACTGCTTACGCATTATTCAAGACATTCTGTGCATTGCATCATTCAAAATCTTATATCCGCCCCTAAAGTGGGTAAAATGTTACCATGAATATACTTCTTATGTATTATTCACGAAGATCGAATGAAAATCGGGTAAAAATCTCGGAGATTAAAGTTGATTTAAAACTCTCAATTGTAAAAGTGCCTTATACTAATTGGGTAATCAACGCTTTCAAAGATCTACATAACCAAAGGGCAATTATTATACTGTAGATCACTAAATTTTCGCGACACCTTATTTTCGCGAGATCGTCATTGACTCTATATAAGCGAGACATAATTTCCAAAGATCTATATAATCATAACCAAAGGACAATTATTATAAATGGTTGGGACAGAGCAGGACTGGGCCATAATTAGTCGTAATTAACCAGGCTATCTCTAACTCGTCTGTGACAATAAAAGAACGATAATAACACAAGCTGAATTTTAATTTTTAGACAAATAGTTTTAGATTTGCCATTTTTATATTTTTTCTGATTGTTTGTAATTAAATTTCAACTGCTTCTAGTACTCTAAAGTTCTTCAGTGATTACTTATTGAACCTTCGTGATCGGTATTCAAAGAAGGGCAAATAACTCTAATCATACCACATGGGAATATAATGAACAACTGGTTCGCGACGATAAATATCCGCGAGCAGAGGTTACTCGCGGAACTTGCGGATATTTATCGCACGCGTATAATACTTGGTTTACAGTATATCAGACACATTTGCAACAAACTAACGAACTTCATATACATTCTATTTCACATGCTATGGACCATGGTCCTGTTTTTCTTTTTTAATTTCCTTTTCAATCCAAGTAATTTTTCTTTAAAAATACATTTACTCAGTGAGATTACTCAGTGAGATTATTTTATTAAGACATCTTTTATATACAGTATACTTATCCCGCATACTTGGTTGTTCCATGCTTTCCTGTATCCATCCCGTCCACTCCAGATATAAAGTCGCGTGTGAATTCCCACACAGCAGTGCCCAGCCCGTGCCCGAGGAAGGGAATCCTCAAAAACCTCCATAGCCAAGGGCTCCCAGGTCATTGTTTCTACAAGGAGTATTACAATAAAGTACACAAAATTTTTTTTTTAAGAGCAACAGATAAAATTTATGCTTTTTAATGCTTAAAAATTTTATCAAAACATTATTTTTTTCTTTTCCATTTGACTGAGCAGAATTTGCTCAAATCCAACAAAGTGTAAAAAGTGTGAACCCAGATCTTATCAAGTATATACAATGTACTAAAAGTTTATTTTCCTTATACAAGACTATAAAGTCAAGGAAATTTATATGCAGTCGCACATGCTGTTACGGCCACCCTTAATCAGCGGCCACTCCCCATGAGCGGCCAGTTTCAATCCCGCAGCGCCTGTTCATTTTTTCACTATATTTTAACTCATTTAAGCGGCCACCTGTCTAACGCGGCCAGTGGCCAGTGTTTTTAGGTCCTGTGTGCTCAACATGCCTGTTTTCAGCGGCCATTTTGTTTGATTTGTCACATGACTTCCGTCTGATATGTGAGCTGGCATCCTCTCAGAGAAGCCAAACATGAACACTTGATAATGAGTAATGACCAATAATTGCAGGACTGTGTAATTTGAATTCTGTCAGGATTTAATGATTTAATTTATATGATTACACAGTAAATGGTTTATTTTTAACAAAAGTTTTTTTGGTGTTTGAATACATTCTTGATATAATCTCAATACATTAATTACAATTTCGCCTGAGGTTAATATCAAGTCAAGTGGTCAATCTCGAGCTATATAATACACATTTAGAAAAACTAAAAAGCTTTGCACAGCATCAGGGAAATGCTAATTTGTTAGAACATTTCATGATTTCGTGTGATGTAAATTCTATGGCTGTTAAAATTACCAACACACACACACACAAAAAAAACAATATTACTGATTTCTTTCCGAAATTCATGTAAAATGAAATGTAAGAAAAGGGATTCCATGTGACTTAAAACTTCCTAATTTTTTTTATGTGTTGAAATTGTGGATCTGGATACATTTAAATATAAATATACAAATGTGGTCGCAATTTTTTATTCATCGGTTTGAAAGCTGGAATAAGAGGCCACCTGTCTTATGTGGCCAATTTGTCATTCTCCCGCAAGTGGCCTCTTAAAACAGGTTTGACTGGATATTATTATTAACTTGTCAATGTTCAGAAAGGCCAGTGAATTAGAACATTTCTATATATACTGACACGCAAAAGAAACGCAACAAGCAGTAATCTGCAAATGTTTGATTTTTTATCTTATGATTTTCAAAAATGAATTCAGTAAGACTAAACTCACTTTTCAGAACATCAGAGATTTGATAGAAATTTTAAATGTTTATTTTTTTTACATGACTAAGTAACACATGACTGTTAAAACACCCCCCTCCCAGTCATTCATTTCAACGTGCAAGACTGCCCTAAACAACAATTGCAGCTTAATTTCTACGATACAATAGGTTCATCAATATCGAGATCTGAGCGAAGGAATTATTCTTTGCCATTTTTAAATGCCCGTTTTTCAGATGATTAGGTCGAATTTTCTCTAACTTAGAGCAGTGTAGCCACCCTTGGACTTCCGGTACAAGGACTGTCCTTAATGCAAATGATACGTAAGATCCTGTTGAGGTGCAATGTTGTGAATTTTTGCATCAGCAACTCCCCATCACCTTTACGTTGAAATTTTCCAGCTAGAGCAATGGAAATGCGTACTTAAGCCATTTTCAAGAAGCCTTAGCATCGTAACGGGATACGAAAGGAGAGTTAATTTTTTGAAATATTGCTGCATTACTTATGATGAACAGTTAAAACCATAAAAATTCAATAATATTGCCAAATGTTTTGTTAAATATGCAATTTTTGATATTTGTTAAGCAGACACAAACTTGACATCCGGTTATGGTATGAAGATCGTTCAACCGTTAAATTACCGGTGTGTACCAAAGTGAAGATATCAATAATTTTAAGATATATTTTTTTTTTACTTTACATAATTATTTTCCCCTGAAGTAGGATGTTGCGTTTCTTTTGCGTGTCAGTATATATTGACCAGCGAGTTCATTTCTATATACTGACTTACCGATATTGAGGGAGGCCAGTGAATTAGTACATTTTTTATATATTGACTTACCAATATTAAGGGAGGCCGGTGAATTAGTACATTTTTTATATATTGACTTACCAATATTAAGGGAGGCCAATGAATTAGTACATTTCTTTATACTGACTTACCAAATCAATGGAGGCCAGTAAATTAGTATATTTCTATATATTGATTTACCGATATTAAGGGAGGCCAGGGAATTAGTACATTTCCATTCCTTTTCATGCGTTGCCACCTTGACGTCATCCATGACCAATGGAACCCACCCTCCAAATACAAACATCCGATGACCGATAACATTGGCCGAGTGAAGACTCCTGGGTAGAGGGGGAATTCCCTGAACCACTGGTTTAATCCATGTGTATGTATCTGCCACAAATAAATAAGCATCAGTAACTTCAATTGCAACTGACTTATGAAATCTGTTAATCAAGAACCCATAAAACTGACGATACAACACTTGATCACTCAAGTTTTGAAAGTATTATACTAATGAAATTCTACACCCAAGGTTTTATCATTGAAAAACCTCCTATAAACATGTGCATCTACATAAAATAGTACATCAATAACCATCTCTATTCATTTAGACAAAGATGTTCAACTGTGTTCTTATATTTCTTTTCAAAAGGAAATTAAGAGTGCCCCACCTATATCTAGCTGCCACAAGTCTCCGAGACGACAACCACTCATTCCTCCATAGATGATCAGTCGGGGCCGTCGGCCATCTTTCTCCGCGTAACCCACACAGGTGTGGGATTCCCGAGGAGGAGGGGGCTGTCCGATTGTGGGAGGGAAATCCCAGGAGAGTGCGTTAGAATGGGGTTTAAGTTCCAGTACATAAAGATCATTCAGATATCTACAAAAACATTATAAAACTGATAAAACCATGATAAAATTCAAAGCTGAATGTATATTCATTGAACTTAGGGAAAAAGAAGACAATGGCTTATTTATTCCTAGATATTATCTCTTTCAAAACATGGAATTCATTCATAGCACATTACCTATACATGCCTTTTTTTCTTCTTGGATGAATAATAAATCATTAAATGTAATCAGGATACAAAAACCCACATTAAATTTCTAACAGGGAAGACAAAGTGGACCATTGCTTACCTTGGTATGTTATTCTTGGGATCCTCACTGTCGTTCGCGAGCCCTCCAAATAAATACGCCTTATTTCCAAGCAAGGTAAAACTGTGGCCTATGTTGTTAATAAATAAAGCGGCAATAAGTACAGCTAGTAAACACCTTCATAAAGTTATAAAATTGGGAAATATTATAATACGGGAAATTCTGAAACTCATTCCTACCCAGTCTTGGACATGGTGGTGGTCCGTTTTTACAAGATTTAGGCTTCAGCCTCTTCCACTCCCAGCGACTAGCCTGTAATTCATAAAGCTCATTGGAATATTTTCCATATTCAACCATGCCACCAAACACTAGAATGCGAGTTCCATCGCAGATAAAACCATAAGCTGCACATCCTGGGGGGATATCCCCTCTCACTGCTGGGACAAACCATTGGTTGGTGGCTGAAAAAAAATTATTATAATAATTAATTAAATAAAGTTATTTATAAATGTCAAATATTATGATAATCAGGATTATCAGAAATATTTTTTAATAATACAGGTATTATAAATTGTACTTGCAACTTGCTCATTTATTTGTAAGTTTTCAATTTTTAAAGACCATGTCGGTATTGAACTATTTCCAATGGTACATTTTCCCAGTTATGAAAGAAGAAGATTTAAGAAGTAGGGGTGCCCTTAAAACAAAACAAGGGCCAAGTGTATACCAGTCGAAAAGGTGTCCAGTCATGCCATAAAAAAACGACTCATATACAAACACTGTCCTACACTTGAAGTGAGTCAACTCGTAAACAAAGCTGAACTCAACTCGAACACAGGGTTTTTCTGTGCATAAAAATGAGAAGTCAACTCCTCCATATATGAGTGAAAATGTTTACTTATGACCTTTTTTGGCCCTGTGAATTTCTGAAAAACTGAGACTGCTTCATTTTTGTTAACAATGATTTAAGTAGGGTTTTAGACCTTTGGTGATTGCATGTCTATCAAAAATGACGTGATTTTTTGACTAATCAATGCATTATTTATGTCAATTTCCTCATATTCTGAAAAACTCTACAAAAACAGCCAAATTTTAAAGCTAATTTTCAATATCTAATATTGAGTGCAACCTATGATCTAAAATTGGCAACTAGTAAATGATCAAACTGATTCTGATGAATACAGTCAAATCATGTTAATGAAGTAGATCAGAGGGTGCGCTCATATTATTTTTCATCTCTGAAAGTACTCAAATATACACTTTTATATTAAAGTTCAAGAACAATGCAACACCATAAAGCAAAAAAAGGTAAAATGTCAAATATTGGTAGACTAGAAGTCTAGAACTAAGTAATGCATCATTTTTACAAGGCTTTTAGCCATAAAAAAGAAAAAACCAGCCATGAGAATACATCGTCTGGCAGAATACGTACTTGTAGAGAAAAGTCTCAACAAAAAATTAAAGCCATAAAAAAGTAGTGTGCCCTGTAAAACAGTGGGCCCAGATGAAATGTGACGAAATGTTGTCTTCTTTGGTCTTATCTAACCTATAATGCAAGTAAACTGACAAATAACCCTTCCACTCTTATATTTGCTTGGGACACTTGTACTGTTAACATAACCAGTATTGTAGTCAACTGTAATAGAGAAATCAAGTTTGTTTACAATCTTTTTTGTCCTTTTTTGCTTGGTGGATCTACCATTTTCCAAAGAGAAGTACTAACTTAACTAAACTCAGTATTCTAGGAACACTGTAAATTTTTATGACTGTTTTTATCATTTTCTTGAAAATGACAAGTTCTAGTCATGATAAAAACTTTATTTTTGACTAAAAATCGTCATTTTAAAAATGACGGATGTCAGTCTCAGCCTTGACTGGTATTTACATGTACAATTAAAACTTATCAAATTAAAATAATTTTCACAGTACAGTATATAGAGTACAGTATATAAAACTTCAGTTTCACATAAATAGTGTTAAGATGGAGTTTACATGGGGTTTAATTCTTGTGGTTTGAGGAAAAACTCTTGGTTCATTGGGATTTGATTTCGTGCATCAAGATTCAAGAATTGCTTATTTGATGGTGGACATTAATTTGTGGGTCTTTTCATGCCTCGAAAACAGCGAGAAAAAAAAATCACCAGGCAAGAACAATATGCTCCATTGAGAAAAATAAGTTACTTTTCAAACTACTAGAGATTTCAATTTCAAGGTTTTTAATGGGTATTTAGGCTAGTTTGTGAGGGCAAAATTTACTGAAAAGCATTTTAATGAAAAATGATCATCAAAGCGTACAAACATTGCTTACAAAGAGATCTGTTCTTGGTTGTTTTCCAAATTTCATTAAAGTTCAGTCATGATACATTCGAAGTTATTTGTAGCAATCATTCAGATTTCATATTTGTATAAAAAGTGATTTTACGCAAGGCAGACATTTTTTTTTGTCTAAAACTATATGAAACTGATGTCTTTTCAAGCTTTCCTGTCCTGAAATGCATTTTCATCCATGATATAGGTAATTGATTTTAATTCAAAATATGCAAAAATTGTCTACTGAATACAAACCAGCCTAACAAAACCGTCGAAATTTTTTAGGACCTTCGACCATACTTTTCAAACTACTAGAGATTTCACTTTCAAGGTTTTTAATGGGTATTTAGGCTAGTTTGTGAGGGCAAAATTTACTGAAAAGCATTTTAATGAAAAATGATCATCAAAGCGTACAAACATTGCTTACAAAGAGATCTGTTCTTAAAAAAAGTCAGTGGTTGAAGTGTTACAGGCCGAATGTCTAGTAACCTTGGGTTCAGCATGAATACAAACCAGCCTCGTTTTCAAAGCAGCCGCCGCTTCAGAGAAGGCCGCCATTTTGTTTGTTTGTAGACAACTGCCCAAAACGCAAGCCGCTAACTTTGTTAAGTACCATAACATTCACAGGTCTTGTATTACAAATGAAACCTTGGCTCAAAAAATTGACTTCAATACAATCTTTTCATAAATCAAAAAGATATGGAACCAATAAACACTGTCAGTATCACCGTGGTTTAATATAGGGCGGCGCCATCTTGAATTTTCGGAACAAATATAAAATTTTCTGCCAAAGTCAATCACATTGGGACTAAGCATGAATAAATTAATTTTTTAAACCAAACTTATTTTTACTCTGATATGCATACATTGTTCAGTCAACAATCACTGCCAATTTTCACAGTCAAGATGACGCTGAAGATTGACATTTAAACAAGATGGCGACACTCTTTGGCTTATATCTTCCGACCCAAACAAACTTACCAGTGTTGTAAACATGCAGTTCATCAACGATTCCTTCGTTACCACCACCAAAAACAACCATCAGATCTTTGATTGCAACTGCTCTATGACCATGTCTTGGCCGCGGACATGGTCCTGTAGTATTGGTAACCCGCTTCCACTTCAGAATGGGAGCCGCCATATTTCAATACTACCCAACATGCATCGGGAAAATGACAAGTGCCCGTACGTACCAACATCATTTGCATAAATCGACAAAACTTATTATTTTTATTTTGATATGAAACATATAAAACGTGTATGATTTCAAATGAAAAAAAAAGTTTAATTAATAAAAAAAAATTATTTGTGAACGGAATTTATTTTATTGATTTGAGAATCTTCAATTTTTTTGAGATTTTTTTTTTGCGGGAAATTTTGAATTTTTATATTAGCATGGAATCCTGGTAGTGGGAGGATTCTTAGAAGGTTTCACAGGAAAATTATGTCATTCCGTTTTCCTCTGTTCTTACTTACATACTAAGGTCTGTCCTTTGCCATGCTGCTTCCAGTGGCGGATCCAAGAATCTTGAAAGGGGGCAGTTTGGGGGCGGGGTAGGGCCCAACACTTACAAATTGATTTTTTAAAAATATTATGTATATTTTGGACGTAAACATTCGCCAGTGATTCCTGTCACATTGCATAGGAGTCGGAAGCAAATTGAAAGGGGCAGTAGGGGTAAGCAAAATTAATCTACTAAAAACCAAAACAAAAACAAAAAAAAAATGAAAAGCAAAAAAGAAAAATGTCTCCATTTCCCAAATACAGAAATCCTATTTCGTTGGGGGGGGGGGGTCAAACTTGTTTCAGCTTTCAGTATATCAACATGATCAATTCAATTCAATTTCTTTATTCAATATTGATTCACCAAACATGTTGGCATACAACCATATGTTCCGGTATACAGACATCTTGGCCCAACGACACTGGCAAGGAGAGTTGTTTTATCCTGCATGTATGACTGTTCATGTGGTTGTGCGAGAGGAGAGCCAAATCATCGGCAAAGTCTAGATCGTGAAGTTGCATCAGGATCGAGTGCCCACTGAACATCATTCGACATTGTTCCTGCTTGATGTGCTTGCCCCCATGATCCAGTCAATGACCAAGAGAAAAAAATATAATGGCAGCAAATACCCTTTTCGAACGCGTGTCTTGATCTCGAATCTCTGACATCTGGCCAGCATATGGACAACCCTAAATAGCATGCCTTGGTAGGCGTTTCAAATCAAGGAGATTATCTTCTCGGGTACTCCGAGATCCCGGCCGCCTCAGTATCTTCCATTAGTGTCTCTAGGTCCGCACTGTCGACTGCTTTCTCACAGTTGATGAAGTTGATATAGATAGGAACTTCCACTTTTTAAAAGTGGTTGTTTGATGATGGTGCATAGGCAGGTTATATATCACTGGTCAGCACACAATCTGTTGGCTCTGAAACCAGCCTGCTACAGTGCTAGTCACGGAGCCTATACTGCCTCTTTCATCGGCCTCAGGAGAAGTGTCATTAAGGTACTTTGAGCACTGAAGTAACTAAAGGATTACTCCCCCTAATAAGTTTACAATGACAAATTTCCTGTTTTGCTCTGGAAGACCCGAAATAGGTGTCAGATCAAAAAGGAGATGTACAATAGCATTATGCAATAAAGAATATCATAAAATTTTATTCAGCGGTATCGATAAAGTTGCGGATAAGCGATAAATGCCCTTCACAATTACAATAAATGGAATGAACGTGGCCATGTATTGCTATGAGAAAATTAAAATATATGTCTGATCAAAAGGTAAAATAGGGTACGTACACAGGCATCTGACGTTACTTTTTTTTTAATAAAAAAATAAACACATGTATTACCTAATAATATTATATAACTTTGTGAAATCCGATAATCTGATTGGTCAATACAAAGTAATTATATTTTAATAATGACCGCTGAAAGCGAATAATGACTTGCACGAGCTGCCTCGTTTTCACTTTCGCTTTAGTCAAACAGTTTGCAAGTTGTAGGCGAGGAATATTTAAAAGATATAGTGAGGAACTCTGAAGGTGAGAATACAAAGCAATTATCAAGGATATCTTTTAGCATTTTTCGGGAATACTTACTACATATACCATTTCATTGTTGAATTCGACTTTTCCACTCGGCGAGCAGATTTTTGACGCTGTTTACGCGATTACGGACTCGGAGACTAAAGTAAATAAAGAGAAGTATGCCATGTACGATTGTATAGATAAATTAGCGTAGAAGACATCTATAGATGTTAATATTTTGTCAGTGCATTTCCTTTGCAAGTGTAAATGAGTGCGATTCTAAGTCTGGGGATGGGGTACTCTGTGTTATTCGAGATAGATACCTTGTGTTATTATTATGCTTAGTTATAGGTTAAAATTTATTACCGAAACAAGTTCCTGTGAGTAACATTCAAAAAATTCTGAAACGTTTATATTCAACTTATTTATGGTAAACACCATCTCTGTAAACATTAGGAAGATATACATAGTACTAATACATTTGGGAAATTATATTATTTATATAATATAATAAATATGGACTCAATGCACGGTCAATATGCATTTATAATGACCCAGAGTGACAGATATTGACCTCAGATACATGGAGCATATCGACCTCGGGCTAGCGCCCTCGGTCAATATACTCCATGTATCTTCGGTCAATATCTGTCATCCTGGGTCATTATAAATGCATATTGACCTACATTGAGTCCATATTTGTATAATAAACATTAGGTATGGGTATATATTTTTTATTAAAGGAAAAATAAGTAACGTCAGGTGCCTGTGGGTACGTAACAAATTTTGGTCGCAGTTTTCTCAGCAAATACTCATTGCAGGTGCTTGAAATTTTAGCACATTCATTGCTGTGGCAAGACATCAATTGGAAATCAATTACATGTATTACAATATCTCAGAATCAGCTTGGACTTTCAGTACATAATCAGCATTTGAAATTTACACAGCTTTCATTCACTGTTGAAATATACATGGGATAGAAATTCGGGCAAATGACGACGATTGTACCGAATAACCAATAACATTGTCTCCCCCGGCAAAGAGGTGGAGCTTAGTCATTTCATCGTTTTCAACACCGATGTTATTATTATTTCTTAACCAATGAGAATCTATTCGCCATTAATTTTTGATAGACGGTAATTACATAGCAACGAGAATGCCACGCCTTACTGAACGTTCAAGCTTAACTGAGAATCGTCCAATCTTCAAATCCAATGTCAACTTCCTATTTATCTGTGCGTTTGTCCGTACCATACATAACAAATTTTCGTGACAGTTTTCTACGGAAGCTTATTAGGGCCGCAGCAGTATTTTTTTTTAATTTGTTATAACAAATTGATAATTTGTTATAACAAATTATTAATTTGTTAAAAGAAATTATTAATTTGTTTTAACAAATTGATAATTTGTTATAACAAATTGATAAATTGTTATAACAAATTATTTATTTGTTTAAACAAATTGATAATTTGTTTAAACAAATTGAAATTTTGTTATAACAAATTGATCATTTGTTTAAACAAATTAATAATTTGTTAAAACAAATTACTAATTTGTTATTATACAAATATGGACTCAATGTAGGTCAATATGCATTTATAATGACCCAGGATGACAGATATTGACCGAAGATACATGGATTATATCGACCGAGGGCGCTAGCCCGAGGTCGATATACTCCATGTATCAAATATCTGCATCCTGGGTCATTATAAATGCATATTGACCGTGCATTGATCCATATTTATTATATTATATAAATAATATAATTTCCCAAATGTATTAGTACTATGTATATCTTCCTAAAGTTTACAGAGATGGTGTTTACCATAAATAAGTTGAATATAAACGTTTCAGTTTTTTGAATGTTACTCACAGGAACTTGTTTCGGTAATAAATTTTAACCTATAACTAAGTAATAATAACACAATTATCTAATAACACAGAGTTGATTTATAATTTACACTTGCAAAGGAAATGCACTGACAATATATTAACATTTATAGATGTCTTCTACGCTAATTTATCTATACAATTACATGGCATACTTCTCTTTATTTACTTTAGTCTCCGAGTAATCGCGTAAACAGCGTCAAAAATCTGCTCGCCGAGTGGAAAAGTCGAATTCAACAATGAAATGGTATATGTAGTAAGTATTCCCGAAAAATGCTAAAAGATATCCTTGATAATTGCTTTGTATTCTCACCTTCAGAGTTCCTCACTATATCTTTTAAATATTCCTCGCCTACAACTTGCAAACTGTTTGATAAAGCGAAAGTGAAAACGAGGCAGCTTGCAAGTCATTATTCGCTTTCATCATTATTAAAATATAATTACTTTGTATTGACCAATCAGATTATCGGATTTCATAAAGTTATATAATATAACAAATTATTAATCTGTTATAACAGATTACTAATTTGTTATAACAGATGAATAATTTGTTATAACAGATGAATAATTTGTTATAACAAATTATTAATTTGATATAACAGATTATTAATTTGTTAAAACAAATTATTAATTTGATATAACAAATTAGCAATTTGTTATAACAAATTAATAATTTGTTATAACAAATTAATAATTTTTTTTAACATTAATAATTTGTTATAACAACTTAATAATTTGTTATAACAAATTAATGATTTGTTATAACAAATTAATAATTTTTTATAACAAATTACTATTTTTTACGGAAGCCCATTTAGGACCTATCAAAAAATATTTTTGAATTCGTTATAACGATTTTTTAGAATTCGAAATAACGAATTTAATTTGTTATAACAGATTTATTGAATTCGTTATAACGAATTTAATTTATTTTAACAGATTTATTAAATTCGTAATAACGAATTTAATTTGTTATAACAGATTCATTGAATTCGTTATTACGAATTTAATCTGTTATTACAGATTTGTTGAATTCGTTATAACGAATTTAATCTGTTATTACAGATTTGTTGAATTCGTTATAACCAAATTCGTTGAATTAGTTATAACAATTCAACAAATCTGTAATAACAGATTAAATTCGTTATAACGAATTCAATAAATCTGTAATAACAAATTAAATTCGTTATAACGAATTCAATGAATCTGTAATAACAAATTTAATTCGTTATAA